GTATGGGCGTGTTGTTCAGCGTGACAAAAATGACGTATTATTGATGTGCGCATGCGCAGTAAGCCTTGGTAGGACAATCTGACGGGTAGGATGGAATGTCAGAACACCGGCTAACTGTTTCCGAACAGGTTTCCCAAACAATTGTTCTCTTCTCATAGTGCAGCTATTATAGAATAAAAAATGTAAACTTCACCTTTAATACAGCTTGAATATCTCCGGAATGGTTGTGATGTTGATAGCTGACATGTTTGGAGGACAGATATGGGCTTTGTCTATGCAGATTACGAAGATGATGCAGCCTTTTTTTGAAAATCAAAATCTAACCAAAGGTACCAGTCATATTCTGCATAGACTAACAATTCAAGGGCTCTCTAAACTGAACTCAGTCCGTCCATCGTAAGGCCCACAGGAAGCCAGCGTCAAGATTTCCTGTCACGTGACTATGAGGTAAGAACTCGTTCCAGGGCTTGATTGATTGTGACAATGCGGTCCAGATGAGAACCATAAAGAGAGAAAAGCCTTCTGAAGAACAGGAACCCATCGCTGTCACAGCCTATGAAAAGGAAAACAGATGAAGTTAAACCATCATGAGGAATTATGCTTATTTACACCTCTTCTGTACAATAAAACAACGAGCACGATGAGAAGTCTGCGTCAGCATTCTCGCCGTCATACTAGTGGATCTCCAGCCTGCTGTGCGGTACAATATTACCACTCTTTTATCACCCACCTTTAAATCTAACCTTTTCACATTCTCTCACAGCTCTCTCTTTTTTGTCCCAAGTTCGTGACTAATCAGCACAAGCTCAGTGAAGTGTGTGGGTGTCATCAGCGAGTCAAAGAAAAACCTCGACTCTCCTGCGCATATGACTTTTAAACTAGACATCTGAGGCATGAAATTGGTCAGATAGTCCTCCCACATATACAAGACGTGTATTGATACAGTACCTGTGACTGGGCACCTTTTAGATTGGAGCGAATATGCTCATTTTCAGTGCAAACTCAGCTTGAGGCCATGAATCCAGGTCAAACTTTTTTTCTCCTTCTTTTTTTTGCACAAATGTGAATGTAGGAGCAACAAGGTTTGTAAATTTCCTTTACCTTCAGGCCTGGTTTGTGCATCCCAGTTCAGAACGACATATTTATTATGGGTGAGAGAAACTATACGTGGTTGGTCAAATGAGAAAAGTCACCAGTCCAATGGAAGGTTCGCAATAGAAGACGATTTCGATATATCAACAGACAACCTTGATATTTTTTTTTTTTTTTTTTTTTTTGCAACCACAACATTGCATTGTTAAGATTCATAATATTGTTTCCAGCCAACTGGATTGGTATGGCAAGTTTCTCTCAAAGTTATGAGCTCATTCTTCCGGTAATATTAATAGAATGTTCATTCATTTTTATCTGGTCTTAACGTTAGATTAATGTATGACTTATTAATGTTCTCAGAATTTATAGCAAAAACGTTATTAGTAGCCTACATTGTTTATGAAACATTTAGTTAGACGTTCATATAACATTTTTCAAGTGTTACATGTTCCAAAACATTCAATATTCAAAAAGTTCCTGTAATATTTGTAAAATGATCAAATTGAATGTTCCGTTAATTCGTACAAGTGATTTAAAAAGTGGCTAATTCGTAGCTACCAATTCATGCGACCTCACTCGTACGAAATTCTTACGATTTGTCAAAACCCACGTTATGGGTAGGTTTAGGGACGGGTCAGGGGTAGGTCATTCGTACGAATTCATACGAATTGGCCAACTCGTAAAATATGTACGATTTAGCAAAAAATTGTACTAATTCGTATTTCGTACGAGTGAGGTCGTACGAATTATGAATTAGCAACCTCGTAAAAGTCAAACATTGTTTGAAACTAAACGTTTTAAACATTCTGAGAACATTCAGAAATAAAATGTTGATAACTTAATTTTTTTATTAGCTGGGATGGAACCATCGATGCCAGTAAAGAACTTTATTTGTAATTACAAAGAAACAATTTTTGGTATGAACTTAATACATAAAACACGTATAGTGTGGAAAATAATCAATTTTTAATCACACTAGACTATTTTATATAGCCTATTTATTATAGACATTTCTCTATTTTTATTGAACTTTTCACAGTGCATTGTAGGATTGCATTCCCTAAAAATAAAAAATGATACAAGGCAGCATAGTAGCCTACCTTTCTAAATAGCGTTTGCACAGTAATGTGCTTATGACGTCGAGTTTTGAAACAGATAAATCTAATAGGAAATATATACAGAGTTCATTTGTGACGTCTACACTCTTTCACTTCCTTTCCCAAGCTCTCTCTTTCTTTCACTCACTCACTGCTCTTAATTCAATTAAGGATCCCCTGCTAATAATGTAGGCTATCGTCTTTTATGATAGTACTCCACGGGTCTTTCTTCAGCACTAATGCTCATCTGAATCTGATCCAGGCAATTAAACGAGTGTATCTGCTTGTAATTGGAGGATCTGTGAGGTGCGTACTGATGAAGGTTTCAGGTCAGTTTGTTCTCCGCATATTATGCGTTGAGTGAAACCAATTTTTTTTTTTTAAAGAAAACATTGATATTTTTTTATAATCACTGTTAATAATCTGTTTCAAATTGACATAGGCTACTTATTAACTACTTGTCCTACTTGAAATTATATGAGGCATTATACAATGTGTATAAAATTGTTTATTATATTATATTGTAAAATACTTACATCATTTTGAAATATTACTGTTTAGAAATGTCATTAAAGCCCATTTTGAGCCATATATCTGTAGTGAGTTTCAGGCTCACCTCATTTAGTATTTTAAACAGTGATTTGCCCTAATTAAACTCATCAGCTGAGGGAGAGATTGGGAGCAACAGGAGCAGATCATTCTCTCATTAGAAAGATGTGATGTTTGATTTGCAGTCCAACGCATTCTCATCCTTTAGCGTCATATAGAACGCTATGTAACAAAACGGCGCGCACATGGCACCCGTTATCGTTAATAAAACACGTGCTGTGATGGTTAGGTTTAGGTGTGGGGTAGGGTAGTCTGATATTAGCCTACGCTAAAGGATTTATGACGCCTTGCGTTCGCGTGAATATTAACGATAAAGGGCGCCATGTGCGTAGTATAGCGCCGTTTTGTCATATAGCGTTCTATGCGACGCTAACATGGTGTCTGTTGCCCAGAACCTTAAAGTGATAGTTCACCCCAAAATATAAATATCTCGTCATTTCAAACACGTATGAGTTTCATACTTCTGTGGAACACGAGGAAAACTGCACAAGAGTTAACAACCAGTACATTATTTAAAATGCGTTTTTTTTCCCCCACAGTGCAATGAAACACATATGGGTTTGGAAGTACATGTCATGTGTGATTCTTTTAAATACACATTTTTAGCTCTGGATGTTGACCCTTTTTTACACTTTATTTTGATGGTCCCGTTTAGACAATGTTGATTATATGTAATGTTGCTACTACATGTCAACTAACTCACATTTTAGTATTAGTAGACTGTTAGGGTTCAGGGTTATAAGTTGACAGACTTGCAAATTGTATATAATCAGAATGTCTGTTGGGGGATCATCAAAATACAGTGTTAGCAGATAGTCTATAATACTCTAATAACATGTAGGTGCAACATTACTTAGACTACAAAAAAGAAGGTTGAAGTTGAACTCACCATTGAACTCTAGGGTTCTTGACTCAATTTTAAAGAATCCATATCCACTTTTAATCTAGTGATAAAGTATGATTACAATTCATGAAATTTTATGGTTCTATTGAAGCACCTCACAGAACCATCTAAAGGGCTAGTTCACCCTAAAATGAAAATTCTCTCATAAATTACTCACCCTCATGTCGTTCCAAAACCTTCCAAGACTCTCGTTCATCTTTGGAACACAAATGAAGATATTTTTGATGAAATTTGAGAGCTTTCTGTCCCTCAATTGACAGCTACGCAAATACCAATTTGATGCATCAATAGAATTAGCATTAATAGAAAGGGTTTACCCTGCTCCTGCCGATCGACTGTCCTGCACAGTTCATCTCCGAATCTAATCAAACACTCTGCTTTTAATTTTCAAGTGATCCTGAATACCTTAATTGGTTGCTTCAGGTGTGTTTGATTTGGGTTGAAGATCAACTGTGAAGGGCAGTCGATCGGCAGGAGCAGGGTTGGGCACACCAGGTTTAGACCAAATTTTCTGAAGAGACTGAATTGCTTTAAATGTTTAACAGATTTAGTAGTCTTTTATTCACATATAAACATTGATCAGCCAACATAAACAGACGCTCAACCGAACCTGCTTGATGTGCTCATCAAGTGAGCATGCTTGTCCATCAACTGATTTGATGAATGTTTATATATCAACAAAAAAATTGAATCATCATACAAAGTGATTGTGCCTCTGGACTAAACCGTTGAATTCATATGGATTCGTTTTACAATCTCTTTATGAACTTTTTGAAGAGGTAGTTGTGTAGCTGTCAATGGACAGAAATCAGATTTCATCAAAAGCATTTTCATTTGTGTTCCAAAGATAAACGAGAGTCATGAGTTTAAGTCATTTTTGAATAGAAACAGAAAGTCTAAAGGTGACCATCAAAATGGTGTTACCAAAAATTGATAGATCATAGGTTTTAACCCATCTTTCTATATCTCTAACCAACATTATGAAGTCTTAGGCTAAATCCGATTTCACATTTTATTAATTATGATATTTGTGAATATTTATAGTGTGATTTAGTAACTTTGTTTGGTATAGCTGCTCCAAATCGTTAAGTTTAAGTGACAAAAGCTTTATTTTGTTCACGATCCAACTCATTAAAATAATTACAATCAATTTATTCTTTACTTAACCACTTAAGACCTTATCATATACAACATTTCCAGCATTTAAAAGCTTTACATAATGTAATATAGATTTTCTGTGAACATAAAACATGAATCATGACAAGGAGCAAAAAGAAATGACGAACAAAAAACAAAAGTCCAAAATCAACACCTTTTTATTTATTTAAAGGATGAGTGCAAAGAAAGAGCTTGTGATGTGTACCAGTCGCTAAGCCATGGACCATAAGGCATCAGTAAATACAAGCTTTATATATACTTACAACAAATACATAATACAAAAAAATCAATCATGGAGGCCATCAAAGAAATCTGCGAAGACACGCACACAATATCAGAAAAGAAACGTAAACCAGTGCGATGGTAAATAATCAACAACCACCAAGTAAATGCATGGATGGATAGTGGGACGAAAAAAGAAAAGGAAACAACAACACACACACACACACACACACGTACACGCAGAACAATTCATACATTCATAATGGAGCAGAAATATAAGAGATGACAATGAGGTCGGATTCAGTGACTGGAATATTAATTACAGCAACAGATTATTAAGCAAAATCTACAGCCTGTTAAATAGGCCTGATATGGAAGCTGCTAACAAGATCCCATCTTCTCGTGATTTCCCATCATTCCCAGCGTGAAAACACTGCCCCAGCACATCCTCATAGCCCCCGTTTCAAAAAATATATAGAAACATTATAGCACAGTTATTTATTTATAGGTTTAAAATTGCGCCTCACAAGGTCTGATCATATTTTTGTATTACTTTCTCATCACACAAGCTGTCATTTATTTAGTCTTAGTGTGGTACTGTATTCGGGGGGGGGGGTCCGTAACGTGAACAAATCCCCTAAAAATGTTCTCATGCATGTAAAAACGGTCGACCGTACAAATATAAACGCCCACTTAACAACATCTGTATTTTCGTGATCCTAAAATATACTTGGAAAAATAACAGCAGCAACAAGTTTTGTGAGCACTGGCACTGTTCATGACCCCAAAAAACCATGGCTTTACAAGTGAGCAGATTGTCTGTACCCAGAGTGCATGGTGTGGAGAAAGCGGGATAGCGGTTCTGTTTAAGCCATACGTAGCTAGCGACACCAACCTTCACACTCATTTGGACATGATCACCGTTCCGTGTTACAACATGGACACTCCAGAACTTGCAACATGCAACAGTCATATTCGTGAGATGTGATTTTTAATAGCAATATACAAATGCCGTCGTGGGTGAAAAGTGCACTGTTACTGTGTATTCTCTACAATAGAACAATGTGTAGCCTAGTACAAACAACGCAAAGCTTTCAATTATGCTAAAACATTCGTAAGTACGCACTGATAAGAAAAGGTTTGTAAGTGTGATAGATACAGTCCTTCATATCTATCCCTTTCTTTGTAGGCTCAGGAATAGCAGTTCTGTTTTTGTCACAGTTAGGCATGATACAATTCAAGTGTCGATAATATACATACGTACGTGCCTGGATTGCGGCGCCGTTGTATCTTTCCGCGCAAGTAAATGACTGACGCGACGGGAAGGGAAACGATTCACGTTCCCCGCGTTACGCTAAAGCTTTGTGATCGGAACGTCCGCGCGTAATAAGCAAACGACAGGATGGAAATCTGTGAAACACACACAGGATGGATGACAGAAAAATAAACAACTCCGAAAGGTACATTTTTTTTTTTTTCAAAATCGGAAAAAAAAAAATTGTAAATTAATAATACATTCATCCAATGACCAAATTCAGAAAGGAAGGAAAGAAAAGGCAATACAGACAAAAAAATCGAAACAACACAAGTTTCGGTTGTTATAAAAATGCATTGCAAGAGGTTCGACGAAAGAAAACAACATTCACTGAAAGTGGACTCATTCGAGATAATGAGAAATAAATCACAAGCAGTTGGTATATGCAAAACAGATCAAACATTTAGCAAAACCAACAACTGAAAAAAAAAAAAGAGAATCATCTCTCTTTCATGACCAAACGATACACCAGAAAATACTGTGCTCTAAATATGCTAAATGATCACTGCTTTTAGGAAACGTTGCTAAATACAGCAGAATACATGCACCATCCAGAAGCGTCGCGTCGACTGACTCCATTTTAACGATTGTTTTGTTGTTGTTGTTCATTCGGTTTTTTTGAATATAAACTGGCATTTTTGAGTTTAGCTCATTTCACATACTCAGCTGATTTCCAGAAGTGAACTGGGTGAGACAGGCGACGGTTGCGTTTCGGAAGTTTCTCTAGTAGTTCCACGAGCTTGGAGAAACTGGGCCGCTCTTCCTGTTCGTACGCCCAACAAAACAGCAGGATGTCCTACACGGGAAAGAAGAATCTGTTCATATACTTTCGCACGATCTAAAAGCAAGTCAAGCATGTCTGGTTTTTCCAATAAAAATAGAGGGAATGCATTGACGTCACTTTCCTGCCGGAACAACCCCCCTCAACCTGACTGAGTGGCAAAAGCTCTGCTGCGTGACTGGATTTAATACGGAAAACTGCGAAAATGTAGACATCAAGATGTTAGGTCTGGAAACTCTTCAATGACAGGGCTCAATCCGAGGGGCGGGATAAACGGTTGTCTTTCAAATTCTCTCTGCACGCAATTGGATAGCGCTAAAGCCAATCAGAGCAACGAAGAAGGTGACGTACTAAGCGGAGCAAGTTGATATATTAAACTTTTACCACATCCAGTCCAGCTGTCAACATTGAACATTGAAAATAAGGGAGATTTCCCGGAATACATCCCCAAAATAAGGGATTTTTTTTTATTTTTTACACGACCCACAAACTTTAAAAATAAAACACTAATCATTAAATGTCTAAAGAGTTTATAACTAGCCTACATATGTGTGAGAGAGAAAGAGACAGTATGTCAGTGTGTGTTTGTGTGTGAGAGAGAAAGAGACAGTAGTGTGTCATTAAAAAAATAACATCATAGAGAATGTTTAAATACTAATATCAGCTTACGAGGGAAACGGAGCCGGAGTAGTGGTGCTTCGGAGTGGTGGAGATGATTCGGGAGAGGTCCGTGCACTACAATCGATCAGAGCGCGCGTTGACACGGAATAAAGCCTTTGTCCTCGACGACAAAATGACAAGTTGATCGTCAAGCAAAAGCTTTTTTGTAACAGCGCGCGCGGCGCCGGCCGCATCCGAGGATGAACGACTTAAACCCGAATATGTCCGAGCTTGCTCTGATCGTCGCAACTCTGTCGTCGTTATGTTAAGCCCGCCCGCCGACTCTATACACGATGTGATTGGCCCTACCAGAGTTGAGTTTTTCCAGCTAAAACGTCTATGGAGAGTTGCTAGACCACACTTTGCTGCAAAATAATTTTTGCTGCCGCTAGGGTGCGTCTAGATTTCTAGGCTAGCGAAAATGCGACTAAAACGAACAATTTTATCAATTTAAACTAAATGTTGGACTCAATATAGTGTTCCTTACAACTTACTGAAGTGATCCATGGATATTGACATGCAGCCAGGAATCGTGTTGCCTGACATTTATGTTTGCCTGATTTCGACATTGGGTACATTAAAGCAATATAGACCTAAACATAAAGCAAATTTGCCTGTGAACGCTTTATATAAATACAATATCCACAAGTTTCCGAGGGGCGCTCCTGTAAAAAAATAAAGTGGGTGAAACTTCCGGTGACGCGGCGGAAGTAGCATTCCAATGGTATTTTGTGTGTTAGTTAGCGAAGAGGCTAGCTGTTTTTCGAAGAATTATTTTACTATGTAAAGATGCAAATCTTTATGAGAGATGTCGTTACGGAGCTCAGGGACAACATATGTGCTGTTCGCGGTTGTATGTATAACCGGACTAAACTAATTCAGTGGCTTAAACGTGATTGTTTTGAACATAAGGTGAAAACGAAATCAGAGTGATCCTGCCAACAACTGTAGTTTCTATCACCTCCCAAAAGACGACGAATCTTCCTGTGTACATTTGTTTAAATTCTTAATATTCTATAAACTCTATCAGCATGTGATTGGCTGTTCGCTACTGATGTTACACCTAAACTCAGGATCAAAGCCTGTGTTGACAGAATACCAAATGTGCCAGTTAAAGTATTCAAGAAGCACATTCATTTATAATTTTGAATAAACTCCAAAGCACAATGACTAAGTGTGTATTTTTTATTTTAATTGTTTGTCAGCTCACACAACTGTCTGTCACCATGCCTTGATGAGTATTGATTATTAATAATGTTATTATAATACTCCCAATCAACTACTGCGGAGGGTAAAGGTACTGTTATTTCACCCTTTTTAATTTCGTTGAGGTTGTGTTCCCACATCGTTAGCTAGTTTGGATCGCTATAACTGGAATGACTGTCAACTGTTGAATGAACGAGTGTGAAGTATGTCAAGTCGCGCTTTGTTTACTTCCAACCGGAAGTCGCGCCCACTTTTGACCCAAGGCCTCATGGGGCGTTGGAAACTTGTGGATAGGTACAGTAGGTCTAAATCCGGGTGATCACTTATATCAGTGTTATATATAGCCTATATATATATATATATATATCATATCGTCCAGCCCTAAAACTTTATAGTTTTTTTTTTTGGTCAGTGTTTATTAAAAAACATCCAATAATGCAGAATATTCAATGATAAATATTTAATTGATGAGTTGGTAATATATATAACAATACAAAATATATTATGGGTATGGTTTTACAACTAAATTCAGCATATTGACACAAAATGATAACTGCAAATCCGCCTTTCGCTGGCTGAGTCCAGTTGTTTCTGTGAATTGCAGCGATCCATTTGCTCCTCTTTCTATAGCAGTCTGTAAAAATACACCTCCGATTTCTTGTCAAATCTAGTTGTACAGTCAATCGCAAAGCTCTTCCCCACTTTATATGTGTTGTGTTTGTTTTAAGAAAATGAATACAGCCGCTCAGTCTTTTTGCCACTCACTGTGAGTAAAGGCGGGCATACACTGTGCGATTTTCGTCCGATTTTGAGCCGAATTCTGACTCGTGCGACTCATTTTCGTGTCGGACCGATTTTCAGCTTTGTCGTGCGTCGTTTGTCGTGCAGTGTTCGTGCAGTGTACAGGGAGAAACGAGAGGCGATTAACCTCTCACGATCGACAATCGGATGGTCGGATGAATTTCTGGCATGTCAGAAATTTTGGTCGCTCCTCGTGACTATATCGCACAGTTGAAGCAAAGCTACGAACCGATTGCCCTAAACTCAGTGTTTTTTCCCTCACTGCACCTGCGCGAAAACAGAAGTTTAACCATTTCATCTGCAGCAAAAATAAAATTAAAATAAAAACGAGCTACAAATTACTGTTGCTTACCTCCAGTTCGTGTTGCAAAATGGATAATACCCACCGTCTTCAAGCCACCTGATATGTAACACCTCTTTTATTATTTTGTCAAACAATGCTTTTGAAATAAACCTGTTTTTAATTTTCATTGATGATTAATAATGGCAATGTTCGGACATATTATAGACTGTTAATAGTTATTTTATATGTATATAATTCATTGTAATCGACCTAAATGTTTTAGACAATTTTTAATGAGGAGTAAGATTAATATTTTACTATCCTCACAGCACGTTGGTTGTGCTGTGAAAATATTGCGTGGCAAATTAATTATAATAGCGGATCAATTTAATAGTAAAATTAGCCTATAGGCCTCCCCTAATAATGATAATATAATAATAATAATAATTAAATGCATAAATTGAAAATACTAAATCATCTTGATACTGATAGCAGATGCTTGTTTTGACAATATCTCTGGATACATACACGTAAATAGGCGCAATCCAGGGGGTTATCGCAGATATTACACGTATAGTGTGAGCAGTGAAGTCGCAGCTCGACGATCGGACCGTACAGTGTGAGCACATAAATCCTGAACTTTGGCTTTGCATCGCATGCGATTTACTCGTTCAGTGTGAGTAGGTACCTTGCTGAAATCGCACAGACATCGCACAGTGTATGCCCGCCTTTACTGCAGACACTCCGGCCGATGGTGATGTCATGTGCATTCCCTCTAAGATTGAAAAGCCTCTTTTGGGACTCCATAAAAGTGGTTCATGTGACTCGTACAATCTGTTCTGACAGATCTGTTTGTGTAAAGTTGGTAGTATTCACACTTCCCCGTGTGTTTTGCTTATCTGCATTATAAGGTATATGGAAATACTCACGGATATCTCCTTGCCCATGCCTATCTGAGTGAGGTTGGGCTTCATTCCACTTCCCACCTGCCAGATAATGACTTCAGCTGGCTGGTTCTTAAAGGGCCACTCACGCGCATGGAGCTCGTACCAGATAGTGCTGAAACACATGACACATATTAGGGTTAAAGGAGTAGTTCACTTTAAAAAAAAACAACAACAACGTTTGCTTATAATTTACTCACCCCCATGTCATCCAAGATGTCCATGGTCCATTCCAGGGTTTTCTCCATATAATGGACTTCATTGGGAACCAAACGGTTCAAGGTCCAAAGAGTTTCAGTGCAAACTGATCAAAGGGCTTTAAACGACACCAGACAATGAATAATGGTCTTATCTAGGACCCTTCGAGTCATGACTCGAAAAAAGATTTGTTCATTTTGATGAACAGGAGAGTCATGAACGCTCATCACAGAACAGAGCAAGGCGAGCATTTGAGCTTATAAAACTTAAACTTTTTAATTTATTTTTTAAATGAGCGATCGTTTCGCTTAAGACCCTTATTCTTTGTCTGGTGTCGTTTAAAGCCCTTTGATCAGTTTGCACTGAAACTCTCATTTGGACCTTGAACTGTTTGGTTCCAATTGAAGTCCATTATATGGAGAAAAATGATGGAATGTTTTCATCAAAAACCTTAATTTCTTTTTCGATTGAAGAAAGAAAGACATGGACATCTTGGATGACATGGGGGTGAGTAAATTATCAGCAAAAGTTTTTTTTTAAAGTGAACCTTTAATGTGCATGTAATGTTTTTTCTATACTTGTGAGGGCCAAATCTATAAATATTGTCACTAATATAATAAAACCGATCAAAAGCAAATAAATGGGTTGAATAATGTCTTAAAGTGCCCCATATTACCTTTCATAGTGTGTTATGTACAGTAACTGTGAATGTCTGCAAAGTTTCAAAGATTAAAGTGCACAACAATGGGATTATGTCTCCCAAATTTAAGAACCGATTCTGCCTGAAACGAGTCGTTAGTAATTACAGTCTTACTTCATGCATGAACCTACATAGGTTCGTAACAAATTTGCATAATGCATGGTGGTCTTCAATGTCTGCCCGCAAACAATGCCTACTTTGACCCGCCCTGAAGAAGAAGCGTTGAGAAGACGCGCTGTAAGCAGTAGACCAATCACAACAGACCAATCACAACTTGGATGCATGTAGACCTGTTGTAGGAGACCTTCAAAACAAAATTAGGAACATCTGAAATAGCCTAGGGCAGGGCTATTCAATTGGTGGCGGCCCGCCAATCATCTCCATACGGCCCGAGGGCACCCCAAACCTCTGTCCTCCTATTTTCTGGTGGTGCGGCTAAATTTGGTTAGATATGCGCGTGGCCGCAGTGGCGCCTGCAGCTGGACGACTATACGCACTGTGTGTGTACCATGAGCGCTCCGACTGACCTGAGAGAAACGTTTTCAGTCCGAATATTTATGTGTGTCCCGTATTTCTGTCGACTGAACCAGCGATATTAATCATTCGTTGGTTCAATTATTTCCTGTCCATGAATTGGCCAAACGCGCTTGCATATTGGTCTGAAACGATTCAGATTCGTTCAGACCGCTGTCACTGAATCATCTGAAGCAGCTTCTCGGTCAGTAACAACAAATAGAGAACAAAATAGCCCTGGTTTCAGTTGTTTCACTAGTTTACTTTGAACTAGGCAGCACGGCCCAGTGGATAACGGAACGCAAGTATAATAATCCGGCCCTCGAATGAAGCTAATTGAGTAGCCCTGGCCTAAGGAATAGCATCACTATATAAATCTTAATTCTGAGAACTTTTAAGGACATTGCAAGTCTATTTGTATAAATGTGAGTGTGGGTGTTGTTTCATTATACTTGTGAGGGCCAAAAAAAAATACAGGAAAACTCTAAACTAAATAGCCCAAATTATGTATTTATTAAAATATATTATTTCAATTATATAAAATGAATAAATCTACAAATCCTAATCAATTTAATCTATTTTTTAATTTAAGAAAGCAATGCCCTGACAAATTTAGTAAAACTTCTTTAGGACAAATATAATGGCTCATAAATGGGCAAAAAAGTCTTAGATGAATTAATTCTTTATATAAAATTAAATTAATAAAGCCATCATTGTAAATTATAATTTGCTTAATTGAAGAATGATAGGATAGTTCTTTTCCAAGTATGTGTTTACAAGTTTGAGAGTGTACCCGTTTTGTTACGTACATTTAGATCTAATTTAACTTAAGAAGAACAGAAAGTCATATGGAACTCCTCACAAGTATATTGTGTGTGTGTGTGTGTGTGTGTGTGTGTGTGTAAGGACGAGGACTCTCGCTTCCCTAAAGCACCACTGGTGGACTATGCTTTCCCTGAAGCCGATGTAGTCAGGAGTCATCCGAGATAATTAATAAATGACTTTGAGGTGCTGTTGATTCCTGAAAAACACAGTATTCTGCTCTAAAGAGCATACTCGTGTTAAAGTTTACTAAACCACACTTAAAAGCTAATTAACAATCATTGAACGAAGAGCTCTGCTGAAAAGGCCAATCATCTGAGCTCTGCAATTTAAAACCAAACGTGAAACGTGCAGCTTGCTGAGAGAAAAAAAAAACATGTAATTGAGATGGCTTTTGCAATACTGAAGTGGGGAACTCACATTTTCAACCAATGATATTGCATGCAAAAAAATTGTGCTGAACACAATTTGCATGGTGCATTTCCAATCATTATAGTGATCTGATCTGGTGTGTACTTTACTGAGATTGTATCACTTCACCACTGTGATCCAGACACCTAAATCATCTCTCAAAAATGCTGAAAGTGCGAATCTGGACATATGCCCGGACCCCGGTGATAGCGTCTTCTACATCATTTGATGAATTACTCCTGCCATGATCGCTAGAAACCGTATATATAAACATCTCTCTTTTTTTAATAACAATTCATTTACCACCCACAGAAAGGAAAGTTGATCGTGCCAGGCAAACAGTGTTGAATAATGTGCATACTATAATTAGCCTAATTTACATAGACAGAATGACTATGGATTGCGGGTGGTTAGTAAATGAGGCCATTTAGTGAATTTGCCCCTTAGTTACAGAATAACATCCTAAAGTTTGGAATAATTAGGCTTGTTTAATGTTTTTGAAAGAAGTCTCTTATGCTCACCTAGGCTGCATTTATTTATTTTATCATATCATTTTGAAAAAGATCATAAGAATTTAAAGGAGTAGTTCACTTTTATAAAAACTTTTGCTGATAATTTACTCACCCCCAAGTCATCCAAGATGTCCATGTCATTCTTTCTTCAGTCGAAAAGAAATTAACGTTTTTGATGAAAACATCATTCTCCATATAATGGACTTCAATGGGTACCAAATGGTTCAAGGTCCAAAAGACAGTTTCAGTGCAAACTGTTCAGTGCTTTAAACGATTCCAGACGTTGAATAAGGGTCTTATCAAGCGAAACAATCGCTCATTTAAAAAAACAACGACAAAGTTTAAGTTTTATAAGCTCAAATGGTCGCCTTGCTCTGTTCTGTGATGTGCGTTCGTGACTCTCCTTTTCGAACCCTTTTATCAAAATGAACTTATCTTTTTTCGTGTCACTTGCTTCATTCAATGAACGAAATGAACGAGTTGACTCTGAAAAAGATTCGTTCATTTTGATGAATGAGTTCGAATAGGATAGTCACGAACGCGCATCACAGAACAGAGCAAGGCGACCATTTGAGCTTATAAAACTTAAACTTTGTTTTGTTTTTTTTAAAATGAGTGATCGTTTCGCTTGATAAGACCCTTATTCATCGTCTGGAATCGTTTAAAGCCCTTTGAACAGTTTACAGTTTGCACTGAAACTGTCTTTTGGACCTTGAACCGTTTGGTTCCCATTGAAGTCCATTATATGGAGAAAAATCCTGGAATGTTTTCATCAAAAACCTTAATTTCTTTTCGACTGAAGAAAGAATGACATGGACATCTTGGATGACATGGGGGTGAGTAAATTATTAGCAAAAGTTATTTTTTAAAGTGAACAACTCCTTTAAAATAACTTTTTTTTTTAACATTTTTTTAACAGTTTTTAAACATATTTTTATGAAAAGTAATTCCTGTGATCAAAGCATCATTACTCCAGTGTCTTTTGTCACATGATCCTTCAGAAATCAATCTAATATGCTGATTTGCTGCTTCAGAAACATTTCTTATAATTACCAATGTTGAAAAAAAAAATATATTTTTGTGGAAAAAATGGTACACTACCATTAAAAAGTTTAGGGTAAGAGATATAATAAAAGAACCTTTTATTCAGCAAGGATCCATTAAATTGATCCAAAGTGACAGTAAAGACATTATAATGAAATGCTGTCAAATTACATTTATGTCAAACAAATGCTTTTCTTTTGAACTTTCTATTCATCAAAGAGTTTTTTAACATTGACGATAATAATAAGAACCGTTATTAATAATTAAGCACCTATAATAACTGAGTTGATAATTGAGGAGCAAATTTCTGAATGATCATGTGACACTGAAGATTGGAGAAATTATGCTAAAATTTAATATTTTTTTAATACAATATTACTCTTTTTGTGGTATTTTTTAAATTATGCAGCCCTGGTGAGCCTAACAGACTTTCAAAAAAGATTTAAAACTTTTTTACCAGAAGTGTAATGTACAGTGCATACTGTACACGCAGAAAAAGTCCATAACACAGAACACGAGGCATAAAATATCCCACAGCTGCTGTTAAACTCTCTGCCGCATTAAAACATGCGCTCGCAGAGAACAACGGAAGTGAAAAGAGAGGCAGAAGGGACAATAGGGAGCATTGCTTTGGGGTCACCTCTAGGTAATGTCCCTTTAGTGTGACCAGCTGGACGGCTTGCGTGGGCGCTGTATTTGGCTCCCGTAGAATGACAGTGTGACAGAGCCTCCATATGGAGAGAACAGCTGAGGACGCAATTGTGTTAGGACCCAACAGAGCAGCATTCCTTCATTTCCTCAACCATCCATCCATCCATTCTTTTATTCATTTGGCCCACACACTCACTGCCTCTGGAAAGGCCCGGGTCAGGTAGAGATGAGTACAGATGGAGGTTCAGTTACGCATGCCGTCTCGTGTGAATACATTCTGATTAGTGAAAACTGAGGGAATCAATTCTTTGGTGAACCTCATCCTAAAGAGCCAGATTCCTGATGTGTATTATTGTGATTTCACGCGTGGTCATCCACAATGTCATTTTCATAACATTTGATACTATAGCTGTGTTGTGTATTTTCATATGGCCACGGTAGCAATTAAAGAGACGGATTTAAATGGAAAAAAGATTTCGGTTTATCTGGTTGGATATCCAAAATATGTATTTGGATGCTTAAATGACACTTGTAAATCTATGAATGCCACTGCATTAGATAATATATCAAACGAAGTGGCATCTGCATGCAAATAATGCTGGAGATTTTCACTTCTCTGAGACTGGTGGTTACAAAGTGGATACATAAATTCAGTTCAAGTTCATTTTTTATTGCAATTTAATGTTTTTGAAACAAGTCTCTTATGCTCACCAAAGCTACATTTGTTTGATTTAAATTTGTGAAATTTAAAAGAACTGTTGATAATTGTCTTCTATTTGTATATATTTTAAGCATAATTCCTGCGATGCAAATCTGAATTTTTATCATTACTGCAGTCTTCAGTGTCACATGATCCTTCAGAAATCATTCTAATATGCTGATTTTCTGCTCAAGAAACATTTCATATTATTATCAATGTTGAAATTTAACATTTTTGTGAAACATTTATTTGAATGAGAAATATTTTGTATTATTATAAACATCTTTACTGTCGTTTTTGATTAATTTTATACATCCAATTTATAAAATAATAATATTAAAGACTTTTTTTTATCTTACTGTCCACAAACTTTTGAACGGTAGTGTATATCTACAGTATTATTTTATAATAAAGAAATTTACCAAAACAAACTATTTAAAAGCAAACAAACTTATTTTTGATGAATGTTTTGCTTAAAAAATGAGCTTACTTTCAAATAAATGGCACTTAGTTTGAAATTTTAACGCAATTCATATGTTTTAAACACATTTTTTTAATGAAATGTGATTACATTCTAGATTTCGAATCCAAAAATGGTTGCTGACATTATAAGAGCACATTAAATGTGGAGAGAAACGGTCATAAGCTTAAAAAACTGACAAAAAGCAGTGATTGGCGACAGAAAGAGACCCACCCAAAGGCAAAGACGTCAGACTGTTTGGAGAAGGGAAGCTGGTTTTCTGCCGTCTCGGGGGAGAGCTGACGGATGAGCTCAGGAGCCAGATGACACAGCCAGCCGCTTGGGATCCGCAGCTTATCCTTTCTCCGGCTGGAGAGAGGGAGAGAGAGAAGAACCTGAAGTTTAATACGTAATCAGACACAACACACCAATGCATGTGTAAAAGGTCAAAAAACAAACCAAAAGATCATTATAGTGACAATACTGTCAAAGAAATACAATAGAGGGCAAGCAACTATTAGTCTTGCATAGTCCGATTATCGACCAATGAGATCTCTTTTTGAACTTAGGGTTAGCGTTTTCCCTAGACAGATCAAATGGAGACTTTTGCATCAAAGGGATGGTTCACTTGGAAATTCAATTTTTGGTATGTTTTAGTTTACCTCAAGGGCATCCAAGAACTTTGGTAGGTGTCTTTGTAGGTGTCCACAGTATTTTCAATTTTGCCATCAGTGTGTATTTACATTTACAAAACATTAAATCATGTTCAATTTGGACTTCTCTGTGCATGCTCTTATATGACTGACAGACAAGAACGGTTTGACCTAAAAATATCAAAATTGAAAATACTGTGGAAACAAAGACCCTTGAGGTAAGCTAAAACATACCAAAAATTAATTTCAAAGTGAACTATCCCTTTAATCTCCTGTTTCCAAATCATTTTCTCAAACAGATACTCTAGAAATCTCAGAATTATCTTCCATAGTTTCAGATCTCAACAAAGATATTTCTCATTAAATTGTCAATATTCAAGCTACACAATTCACAATCATGTACTTTATTTCTAAATCTATTTCAAATTGATGGTTGCTATTAAACAGAAACTCTTTGATACTTTTCCAAGATTGAATGGCAAGAAACTTTTTCTTTACACAGAGCTGCAGTCTGAAAACTTGTACACTGGAAGTGGTCTATCACTGACAGACATAAAGCTGTTTCAGCTTGACTGAATGTCTGATCCAGGTAAAAACAAACTCAATCACCCATGATATATAATACACCTCCAAACCAGGGGCAGGAATAAATGGGGGCTTTGGGGAAAATGCCATCGAAATTGACAAAAAAATACCCCCTACAATTCTTTCTTTTATTATTTTATTTACATATATTACAATATTTTCTTATTATTATCAATGTTGAAAACAGGTATGCTGCATAATATTTTTTTGGAAACCGTGATACACTACCATTGGTGTGTGTGTTTGTGTATCACTGATTCGAGATAAGGAACAAAACAAAAGCCCCCTTTATGTTAAAAAAAAGAGAGAAAAAAAAGTGTTACAGGAAATCTGGATACTCAGGACATTCATTTTACACTTTTTTTTAAAATGTTTTTTTTATTTATTTAATTTATCAAACATCTATACCAAGCAATACAAAATGTAATTCTTGAATTATATTTTCCATTAAAAAAAAACCTATATCAAAATTGTGTCCTCGCTTTGCTTCAACTCCATTGTATTTTTTATTTTTTTTTTTACAATTCTGAACATATCAGGCAATGTCATGGTCATCTTTTAACTCTGAGGACCCCTTCTCCTATTTCCTGCCCATTGTGGATCTCACAGTAGGACACAGTCCTGAAATTCTTTTTATTTTAAAAGAAAAATATTTTATACAAATAATGTTGAAGTCTCTGCAGTCACATCTTTAACATGTGACATCCCAGTGTGATAGTTTCTGTAAATAGTTGTGGGATAAATCTTGGCATTTTGGATATGTTTATTAAGGCAGCTATAACTGAGAGGGGAACAACTAAATTCCTCCACTGTACAACGGTGTGGTTAAGAAAAATATTCAGTTTAGTCACCTCCATCAGGTTTTAAGTCTGACAGAGTTGACTTGTAAGCTTATAGAGTAGACTAGACAAGTGCCCACAAATCACACTGTATCCACAAGTTTCCGAGGGGCGCTCCTGTAAAAAATAAAGTGGGTGAAACTTCTGGTGACGCGGCGGAAGTAGCATTCCAATGGTATTTTGTGTGTTAGTTAGCGAAGAGGCTAGCTGTTTTTCGGAGAATTATTTTACTATTTAAAGACGCAAATCTTTATGAGAGATGTCGTTACGGAGCTCAGGGACAACATGTGCTGTTCGCGATTGTATGTATAACCGGACTAAACTAATTTAGAGGCTTAAACGGGATTGTTTTGAACATAAGCTGAAAACGAAATCAGAGTGATCCTGCAGAGCCCGTCTCTGATCCTGCCAACGACTGTAGTTTCCATCACCTTCCAAAAGATGACGAATCTTCCTGTGTACATTTGTTTAAATTCTTAATATTCTATAAACTCTATCAGCATGTTTGGCTGTTCTCTACTGATGTTACACCTAAACTCAGGATCTAAGCCTGTGTTGACAGAATACCAAATGTGCCAGTTAATGTATTCAAGTAGCACATTCATTTATAATTTTGAATAAACTCCAAAGCACAATGACTAAGTGTGTATTTTTTATTTTAATTGTTTGTCAGCTCGCACAACTGTCTGTCACCATGCCTTGATGAGTATTGATTATTAATAATGTTATTATAATACTCCCAATCAACTACTGCGGAGGGTAAAGGTACTGTTATTTCACCCTTTTGAATTTCGTTGAGGATGTGTTCCCACATCGTTAGCTAGTTTGGATCGCTATAACTTGAATGACTGTCAACTGTTGAATGAACGAGTGTCAAGCATGTCAAATCGCGCTTTGTTTACTTCCAACCGGAAGTCGCGCCCACTTTTGACGCAAGGCCTCATGGGGCGTAGGAAACTTGTGGATACAGAATATAAAATACTATATTTATAAATATGTCTAATGAGTATTTATATATGCAACATATTATATAATATACAGAGTAAGACGTCATTTTAATAAATTAATGCAATATATCTAACATAAAATATGATATAATCTAAGCACTGTTTGCGAGACCAGGCCATTCACTCTTAGAAGAAATGGTGCTATTTACAACCAGAAATGGTTCCATCCCCCGCTTCATATATGGAACTCCAAAATGGTTCTATATAGAACCATTTTTTTTTGGTAAAAGGTTCTATTGGCCAAGTATGGAACCCCAGGGTTCTATATAGAACCCAGAGGAACCCTTTTTTTAAGAGTTTATAGAACCTTTTAGGGGTTCCAAATACGTAGCGCTGACAGAACCTTTTAAGGTTCTATATAGAACCTTTTCTTCTAAGAGTGTTAAGTTAAGTCAAGATTAGGCCTTAGTAGCACATGCACATAATGTGCTTACATTAATTACATATGGTGTGAAACAATGGCACTGACATATTTTACGATATGTCATTGCAAGTTGCATTCAGTTAAAACTACTCAAACATGCATTTTAGTCTGGGACCAGGCTTAAGCGCTGTCTATGAAACAAGGGGACAGTGTTTTTATACTTACATAGAAGTAGAAAAAAATCCCCCCCAAAAAATCTAATTAAGGGGCAAATATTGACCCTTATTCAAGACAAGAATCAAGACAAAAGCATGATCTCTTGGGTCTTCCATAACATTAAAACTGCTATTGTCTCAAATCTGGGCAGCCTGTCAAATTCCAATGACTTCATCTCTCAAAAAGACTCAAACCCACACAAACACTCACAAAGAAAACCTTGACATTTCAGTACGAGTTTAACCACAGCCTCACTAGCCTGATAAATGTTGCCTTACATGGATGTGGAATTTCAAACAGAACCAAATCCCAGAATAATCAGATCTTATTAGAATACCCAGTCAGGTCCTGAGTCATCATAATACATAACTAATGTAAAAGCATGTTATTAAGAGCCAGACTTGTGCCTTTCAGATAAACAATTCCTAATTATGCTAGAGCCTGCACGTCTCTGATGGCCGCTCTCAAATACTATCCCTTCCACCTAATAACTCCTGAAAATAATTCACATGGCTGCGGAGGTGTGGAAGTGAGCTGATCAGAACGCAACCGATCCAAGACACTTGATCAACAATGGCTGCAATGTAAACCTGTCGCCGTGGAGACGTCAGCTTTTTCCCGGTAATTACTGCCAACATATGTAAACACACTTGTGCGAAATCAGCCTCATAATCAGATGAACCGATGGACGTGAGTGTTTGTAATCTCGCTCCATCGGGGATGTTGATTTACTGCTTTCAATGCCAATGAAAACATTTTCAAAGAGGCGAGGCGCGCAAACACAAACGGGACGAGTGCCAGAACAACATCAACATCATCACGGTCATCAGTGGTGGCGAACGCTTCATGTTGCCCCAGATAATTCACTGCACTTTCAAAGCCAAAGACTTTACTAAACGTCTTAATACACTAATAAACAAAGAAGTAGACTCGAATAGTGTTTCAGGACTGTTGATTGGTGACTGCAAGAACTGTTAAGATGTTGCTGGATCTCACTAAACCGGTCAAGAAGATGTTTAGGGACAGATTACATCACAAAAGAAACACTCTAAAAAAACGCTGGGTTGTTTCAACCCAAATTTGGGTCAAATATGGACAAACACAAATGTTGGGTGAAAAATTGTATTTTTAAAATTTTAACCCAACTCTTTCAACTTTTAATTTTTTTAATTACATTTTTAACCCAACATTTGGGTTTGACCATATTTGACCCAAATTTGGGTTGACACAACCCAGCATTTTTTTAGAGTGAAGAAACTCTTTTTTTCTGCTTAATGTCTAATTAAGATGTCTTGCATTGTTGCATTATTATTACATGACATCTTCTTTATCGCATTCATATTTCCCTTTATCATTTCTGTAATACAGGAAAAAAGTTATAGTAATACATGTAAAATAATATACAATTACACTCTAAAAAATGCTGGGTTGTTTTAACTCAATTTTGGGTCAAATATGGACAAACCCAAATGTTGGGTTAAAAATGCAATTTAAAAATGTAACCCAATGGCTGGGTTTGTCCATATTTGACCCAAAATTGGGTTGAAACTACCCAGCGTGTATTTAAATGATTAAGTCTGTATAAATCATGGCAGTGTTAAATTATATTAGCATGACATCAAATTGACCACAGTAATCATAATTCCCTCATTATTCTCATTGCAGTAATGCTGGGACATTTTTTTATTATAAATGTACAAATAAAAAAAAATTATATAAGTGTGTATAAATCGTGGCAGTATTAAATTACATTAACATGACATCATATTTAATAATAATAAGAATAATATATTTTATTTATTAGACGCCTTCCATGACACTCGACTCAAGGTCAACTATTTATCTCATTTATCATATTTACCTCATTCTCACTACTGTAATAAGTTATTTTTATAAACGTAAAAATTATATAATTATGTAAATGTAAGCATTTGTGTGGCAGTATTTATTTAATTAAAGTAAATTGAATGAGCTTAATTGTCTTAAAAATAATATCACAATGCAAGTACATCTATCTGACTTTGCAAAGTAAAATTATAAACATATAGTTATTACATGGTAAAGTGTAAATCATGGCAGTATTCATTTAAATGACATTAAATTAAATTAGCATGCACTCTAAAAAATGCTGGGTTGTTTCAATCCAGGTTTGGGTCAGATATGGCCAAATCCAAATGTTGGGTTAAAAATGTAATTAAAAAAAAATACAGTTGAAAGTGAAAGATGAGGTTGGGTTAAAATTTTAAATTACATTTTTAACCCAACATTTGGGTTTGTCCATATTTGACCCAACTTTGGGTTGAAACAACCCAGCATTTTTTAGAGTGTGACATCACATTTATCATATTTTCCTCATTGTCTTGCTGTAATGCTGGAATAAATGCTATTATTATAAAACAATATATAATAATATAATAATAATAAATAAACAATTATATGCACCGTACAAGAGGACATGTCCTCTTAAGACCCTTCTGTTTGGCCATTAAAAACTGGTGAATAATCAAGATATGGAGTCTCAAATTTACTAAATAAATCAAACGTCTGCCACCGTTCACAGTGATTCAATGGCCTTGCCTGGAGGAAGGAGTATCTTCAAATGCATTCAGCCATAAAGAAGAGGATCTTTCTTCTTCATACATTGCAAGAGAGCAACAGAACGCATACATCAGACACCCTTTTTCATGGGTTTTCCAGTTCAAAGGAGTGTGGCGGAGAAAGGCTTCTTTAAAGTCTTTGTCTCTTGAAGGAGACAGAAATATATAGACAGCGGTCCTATTTGTATGGACTGGTACTCAATTAAGAAGGTGGTGGAGGTGATTAGTATGGAGCCAAATAGCATGTCAAGGTAGCTGTTATTCAGTATTTATGTAGTGTTTTTCCTTGTGTTCAGTATTATGACTCTCAATCATAAATAAATGAATGCCAAAATCCTCACCCGCATCACATACACAGGGGGAATTGATTTAATTAGTTGGCGAAAACGGCATTAAAACATAATTAATTGAATATTTGTAACATTGAATATTGATTTTAAATTTAAACTGAAATGAAGTGACCTAAGGGAAATGCTTGCTCAGTGGATAGAGTCAAAAACATCGCTCATCGTCATGTGAATGGAAATGCTTCTAGCTATGAAAGCTCGATTTCACGCATTGTTGCGTTATGAAATGTGTAACATTAAAGGGATAGTTCACACAAAAATGAAACTTCTCATGTTGTTCCAAACCTGTATGATTTTCTTACATACAAGAATACATTTTGAATAGTCTCTTTAATGAAAGTCATTGGGGTCCAATGCTGTTTTTGACCCCAATGTCCTTCGAAATTGTGTTCTGCAGATAAAAGTTGTACAGGTTTGGAACAACATGAGGGTGAGTAAAAAAGAAAAATTGGTGAACTATTTAAAGAGGTCATATTATGCCCTTTTACAAAGTCTTGATTTTATTTTTAGAGCATATTAGGCTTTTCAGAAGGAGGGGCTTCATAGAGACAGGAGCTAAACAGACCATTATTGACAGACAGGGAAGAGAGGTGCTGCCACAATGTAAAATATATGAAAAATAAATAGTTTTTAAACATTCAAGCATTCTAGTTGACTCCAATTGAACGGCTGGACTGTGTGTTGATTGGGCACTGCTTTGAGTGTGTTTTGGAAATGTCACGCCCCTTACCTTAACTACGAGATTAAACACACTACTTACACAATTCAACCAGGCCCCGCCCCTTTATTTTGTACATGCCTTGGGCGGGAATTATTTAAACGAGGAACATTGTGGCGTGTACGTTCCCAGAAGAAAGCTCAAGACTACAGTCGAGGCGTTTCAGGAAATTCAGAAACAGTGCGCGCTGATATCGAAAATACCTCCCTTTTTCATGCTCAAACAGCAACATTACACACTAAAGAGGGTTGAAAATGAAAAACATTAATAAAAGGTCCTCTTTAAAGCTGTAGCCCACAGTTTTCCCTTTTTTTGCCGCCATCTCTGTACGAAATCTGCAATTGCAGTCATTCGCAGAATTATCAACTTTACGTGAGTTGTGCCTCGGCACGGCACAGCTCGGATGAATCCGATGTTTGAGGAGAGTGTGAGGCTGTCAGTCGCCGTGCCGGTGTGGATACTGGCATTCAGAATCACAGATCATACTTTTTGGAAGTAAAATAAAATGCCTAAAATATCATCTGAATAAGTAACATTCATTTTGTTCTTCTGTTTCGTTTATTTCACACGACATCATTATATAAGAGCTACGGCAAGCAGATAGTTTTGAACACTTGCTGGTTATGTACTTGCTCAAAAATGTATTAGAATTTATTATAAATATAATTTTTAACACAAAAAAAGTTACTGACTGCAGCTTTAACAGGAATTTTGCACATGCGATGTGTTGGCCGGGCTTCCGTGTCCTTCATGTCATTTTGTAAAGAATGTTTCTGGCTTTATACTGTCAAGCTTTAAAAAATATGTGTATGAGAACTTTTCATTTAGACATATCTATTCATATTTCTGCAGTGTACTGACATTGCTAGAGGGAGTTTCCCTGATAAAAGTTATTGAAGTTCTGTCAAACGCTTGTGTGTCGATAACATCTGGTGCTACTTCAACTCATTGAAGCATACATTTATGAAGAACCAGGAGAATACTGAAGGTCAAATTGGATTTAGCTCTGTGGCCCACACTTTAATAATTACAGGCTTTGGTTTTTAATAAGCAGTTCTGAAAGTCATTACGGAATTTAAGGACGTTATTAATGGCCTGCCACATGAAGAGTGTGATGGGTTGTACATTTGTCACTGTAGACGGCACTTAGCTTATAATCAGAGCTCAAACGACTACTCTCGTTTTCAGTGAACAACCTATCTAGACAGCATTTTACAGCATCACAGGCACACTTGCAACATGATGTTTCTGTACCTTAGTAGACAGAAACATCATGTTGTCTTCTTAGGCCTGTAGATGCGTTTTTGTCAATCCGATTACAAGTGGACGACGCTAAATACAGGTGTAAATGGGGTCTAACAGGCTTAGAGATTGTCCACTTTTGACCACTTCTAGAATTATTCGAAAACACATTCAACTGGATTGCTTTCGTAGTGCAGACGCGAATGTGTTCGAACAGCCGCAAAAAGACCGTCTACTCTCCACCAACTGAACTAATGAGAAGAGCGCTAGCCAAACGTGATCTAAACTTTGTCGGCAGGAGACCCAAATTTGTTCTCTTACCATTCCTGATTTCTAACACACACACACTCACAGCATTCGGTGTGGTCTTGCAGCTGTCAGAGCAGAAACGAAAGTAAATGCTCTCCGTATATTTTCCCATAGTCTCCGGTCGGGTTCATATGCATATTTAGTCCATTAGATCAAAAGATCTGAAAAAGGCCATTCATTTACGCACACATAAACCCTCCCCTCGAAGAAATCAGGACAGAAGTGGTTTAAAAGTGGACAAAGGAGACGGATTGAAACACCAGGTGTAAATGGGTAGGCCTATGTGTCTCCCTCTTCTACTTGTGATCAGAACGACCAAACGCACCTTAATACCAGGTGTAAACAGGGCCTTAGATACCTAATGTTGGCCAATGTTTAAGGCAATATCACACGTATCCTATGCGAACGAGGCAATTCCAGAATGCACAACAATAAGCTCAGTGAGCATATTCATACAGTACAAGATGAAAAGTATTGATAACAAATTCACTGGCGGAAAAAAGTTTGGAACAAGTCTCTTCTTCTCACCAAATCTGAATTTATTTTATAGTAAATAGTGTGCAAAACGTAATACTGAGAAATATTACATTATTAAATATGTGTTTTCAATTTGATAATTACAAACTTCAAAAGAACAGCAATTATTTGAATTTTACTTGCAAAATTATAAATGTCTTTATTCTCACTTGAATCAACTTACTGTAATGCATCCTTGCTGAATAAAGTATTCATTTAATTTTTCTTTTCAAGATCATGTGACTGGAGAATTGTTTGATTTTATGTATGATCAAATAAATGACGTCTAGGTTCGAAAACATTGCAAGTCTTAATTATGTGTGTTTGTGTGTATTTTTACATACCTGCCTGCTTGTAGAACACCAGATATTGTGAACAGGCCAAAGTCAGTGATGACCACTTTCCCGTTGTCATAAAATACATTCTTGGATTTCATATCTTTGTGAAGGATCCCTTTGGCATGTAGGTAGCCCATGCCCTGGAAAAAAAGGGTTAATGTAATTAGTTCTGCATGGTTTGGTAAAAAGCATATTTACGAATTTTTCTGATAAAACTTTCAACTTAAAATGTGATTAAAAGGGGGGTGGGGGTAGCACCTGTTTGTAACACCTTCCCAAATGCACAAGAAAAAAAATCTTAAAAAAACAAAAACAAAAACTTCATCATGAGCTGCTTGCTTGTACCAGAACACAGTCCCATAAGCCATAGGGCGATTTTGGTTTTATTCTGATTAATCATCCAGCCCTAAATGTACATACAGTATAAAAGCTTTCCAACACTACCATGTTTTTCTAAATGACTGCTAAATCAATTTCATCTGACATTTAGCAAACGTTCTTCACCCTGACTTCACATCAGTAACACTTACCTTCACCATCTCTTGTGCGATTTGTCTAGTCTTGTTCACGTCGAGAACAACTTTTGCATCTCGTACCACTGAGTAGAGGGTCCTGCCCTTACACAAGCTACAAAAGAGAAAAACAACAACAAAACACTTATTAGACATCAGCAGTGACCATATCATCAAAATATATTCACTTCATGTAGACGGTAGAAGCTTCTTGTGCATATTGCAGGTTTTAAAAATGATCCTTGCCGAAATAAAGAACAGTAATATTTCAGGGTCATGCAAAATACATTTGACTACCGGTATTTTCCAAAAAAATAAATAAATATATATATATATATATATATATATATATCTATTAAGCACCGTTTCTGAACTCCATGAAATGACTAAATTGTTCTATCTATCTATCTATCTATCTATCTATCTATCTATCTATCTATCTATCTATCTATCTATCTATCTATCTATCTATCTATCTATCTATCTATCTATCTATCTATCTATCTATCTATCTATCTATCTATCTATCTATCTGTCTGTCTAGCACTGTTTCTGAACTCCATTAAATGACTCAATTGTTCTATCTATCTATCTATCTATCTATCTATCTATCTATCTATCTATCTATCTATCTATCTATCATCTATCTATCTATCCATCTATCATCCATCCATCCATCCATCCATCCATCCATCCATCCATCCATCCATCCATCCATCCATCCATCCATCCATCCATCCATCCATCCATCCATCCATCCATCCATCCATCTATCTCTATCTATCTATCTATCTATCTATCTATCTATCTATCTATCATCTATCTATCTATTAAGCACTGTTTCTGAACTCCATGAAATCACTCAATTGTTCCCTTGAGTTTTCTTCGAGGAACGACCACGTCACAATATTCCTCATTTAAATAATTCCTGCCCAAGGCATATGTAAAATAAAGGGATGAGGCCAAGTTCAGTTGCGTTAGTAGTATTTTGACATTTGTGTTTATGTTAAGGGGTGTGACATTTCCGAAGCGCGCTAGAAGCGGATGACCAATCAGAACACACTGGTCCGGCTGACCAATCAGTGTGCATTGGGCTTTTCAGAAGGAGGGGCTTCATAGAGACAGGAACTAAACCGTTACTGACAGACTGGGAAGAGAAGTGCTGCCACAATGTAAAATATGGGGGAAATAATGTTTTTTCTTTTTTACATTAAAAAAAAAAAAATCAAGACTTATGGATAATATGGTCTATTTAAACCTTACAACCTACTTTAACATGTTTGCCAGCCTATCTCAAAGCCAACATCAAAGATCGTTTTGAACGTTTTTATCTAGTTATAAGCAGTGGTGGAATGTAACGAAGTACAAATACTTCGTTACTTTACTTAAGTACATTTTTCACGTATCTTTACTTTACTTAAGTACAATAAATAGTGCCTACTTTTTACTTTTACTTCATTACATTTTGCAGCAATTATTATACTTTCTACTCCACTACATTTCTACAGCTTCTGTTACATTTTCTGATCAGTTTTTCCCCTGCCAAAACGTAATCTGACCATCCGTTCGTTGCACGATTGTCTCACCAGTGACGTTTGGTTGCCATAGATACAGTATATCAACCCGGTCACACTAAATGCGTCTCACACGCAGTGTGTTTATCATGCAACTCATACGCGAAAATTTGTTTTTACGTGCATAGGAAACACACCGTGTGTAATATATGTTTGGTTTGATTAGGATTATGGCAAGCCAAGAGGTTCAGAATTACAACATAAATGAATCGCGTTTACTGCCAAACATAGTTATTAACATATAGTAAGGATAAGCATGATATTGCCTAATTGCAAGCTTGTTTCAGAAATGGTGACATTTTTTTCCATCATTATTGAACATCATTATAGGAGTAGGCTATTAGTGTTTTATTAATCATTAGAAAATAGACATTAAGATAATAAATTGTTATGCAAGTACTTTTACTTTTAATACTTAAAGTACATTTAAAATAAAGTACTTTTTACTTAAGTATGGTAACTTGTCATTGTGTTACTTCTACTTTTACTAAAGTAAATATTTATCTGGGTATTTGTACTTTTACTTAAGTACTGAGATTCAGTACTTCCTCCACCACTGGTTATAAGTATTGTATTTTTTTCAATGTATTAAAAATTATGAATGTTATTTATTTAGCTTGTTGATGAAGAACATTCTAGTCAAAATGCAATATTATGTATTTTATCCATTTCCATACTGGCGCTGCCACTGAGAATGATGGGAAATGAATGTAGGGTCATTTGACAAACCCGCTGAACACTTCGCACTAGGTCACAATGGTAAAAGTTCATGGATCACCACTTGCAGTGTTCGAACCTACAACCTACATTATCATATGACACATGTGTTAGCACAGAAATGATACGTGTTCAAACTTCAAAATGCTGTTCAGTATTTGCACACGAGCAGATTTGAGCGCTGTCACTAATGATGCTGAGTGAGCCATGAACTTCACCTCAGCGGGAAAGAGGAGAAAGTCACCCGAGCTCCTACTGTGACACCTGACGAAGACGTGTGCATCTTTCCCAAGGCTGCCCTCTTCCTACATATTCATAAAGGCATCAGGGTATGACGTTCAAAAATGTGACGTACAAATGCAAATGCTGAACTCTGTATGTATGCCGTCACGAGGGAAATGTCTTGAGTGCTTCACATTTTAGCTGTTAACACTAATAATGTCAAGACAGACTATTCAAAATAATAACAGGCTCTGACATTCCGGTGCAATTATGTTGTACACACAGCATTTGTGAGCAAAAGCCAAACTTTTATTCCACACTGCAGGGGTAATATGGAAAGCAATCAATGCATAATCGCTCATAACAATGCTAAGAAAAACAATCAATACTTATGTCAATGTTTATTTTTAAGAAAGAGCCCATTTCAAGCAATTATTTCTCCATTTGTTCTGTTGGTTTGGGCCTGTTTTGCTATGATTAAGGACTATGAATAAAATCATTATAACTTTTGTCTTTGTTAATAGCAATACACAAAATCATGCGCTAAAATTATTTAGGATTAGACATTGATAAATGTGTACCAGTGTTTGGCCAAATGAAAACAATTTGTCAATAAACTGAGATGATTCCTGTTTAGCAATTTTTGCTGGAAATGCTGAATACTAAATACTGAACAAGTCAGATATACATTTAAATATTAGCTAATATATAATTTATTTATTGTTTATGTGTGTTTACACACACACACACCAGCCACTTTATTAGGTACACCTCTTGTTAACCGGTAGAAATTTGTCGGTAAGGATTTTGAAATAGCGTCTCTATCTTTGTTACGCTCGTGTGATGTTGCTGTGCTGCGCCGTCACAAAAGCTTATCATTTGCATGCAAGGGATTTTAAAACGCACACATGAAGCCGCTCATAGAGTGAGAATACTGAACTGAGTCATTTTTGTCGCCTTATTGGGCTTGAACGGTCAAATAAACACACTTATGTGCCAAAATGCCCATCTTTGCTCACATCCTCATAAACACATTCCTTTTTATCTTAAAGGGTTAGTTCACCCAAAAATGAAAATTATGTCATTAATGAGTCACCCTCATATCGTTCCAAGCCCGTAAGACATTAAAAGATATTTTAGATTTAGTTCGAGAGTTTCCTGTCCCTCCATTGAAAATGTATGTACCTGTCTTTGTCCAGAAAAGGAAACACAGACATCATACACTCATTTTCAATGGAGGGACAGAAAACTTTCGGACTAAATCTAAAATATCTTGAACTGTGTTCCGAAGATGAATGGAGGTCTTACGGGCTTGGAACGACATGAGTCATTAATGACATCATTTTCATTTTTGGGTGAACTACCCCTTTAAGTGAATGTAAACAGTGGAAAGCACATGTGTATCATTACTGTATATTAAATCAATGCATTCGGCAATGCAATTTCATTACTTTATACAATTCATGTAGTAGACCCATTTCATTTGTGTCTGTTCTATTGCAATTTTGTCCTATTGCTTTTAATTAGTTATTTTATCACTGACTGTTTAACTGTTTTACTTACTTTTTTTGTGGAATTGAAATTGGTGATGATAAATATGAAATTTCAATGGTATCAAACATTTTGATAACACTTCCATTATAGAAAAAGAAAAGAAAATGTAAATCCATGCAATCTTTTAATCTTTTATTGGCCGTGGCCATGTATCTCAGTATATGTTTGCAGACAAACAAACAAACAAACAAACAGGAAGCACCAATTTGTGTGGCAGGAGGAAGGAAATAATATAGGCCATCTCCTGTTCAGACAGTATGCTAAAGTAGCACTTGTTTTTAATAGCTAATGCCAATGCTGACATGTCTTCTAAGAATCCTGAGTTGTGAGAAAAATCAGCCACTTACATTTACATTTGAGGCCCATGACATGTCGTTTCAAATTAAGCTGAAAGCAGCTACTAATGCAAGCTATGAGGTCATGCTGATTAGAGAAGATCAGGAAAAGTGAGTTCAAGGAAATATTGAGCTGTAAATTCTGTTCAAGCCTACCTGGTGATGATGGCCAGATGAGGGGGTCTCATACACGCTCCCATGAACAGGACCACGTTTTCATGCCGCGTGTTCCTGTACGCCATCACCTCTCTTTTAAATGCTTTCAGCTGCTCTTCATTGTCTCTTTCAATGTCAATTAGTCGTATGGCCACTTCTCCGTGCCAGCGTCCATGGTAAACCTGTCCAAACCGGCCTTTCCCAATCAGCTCTCCGATCTCCAGCTGCTCCATGGGAATGTCCCACTCCTGCAGGAAGATACTGGTCTGGCTGGCCTTACGTGGGAAGTTTCGTGCGGACAAGAGGGAAAGATTCATCTCCTCAAACTCGTCCGCTGAGCCCTCGGCCTCATCGTTGCCTTCCTCGTTCTGATAGATGGAACAATAAATGCAACATTAAACGACAGAGAGAAAGAGGGATGGATGGATTTTAAGATTATAAAACAGATTAACAGACAGACAGATGATATAGTGATCAATATAAAGAATAATGGGTGGATGGATGGGTGGATGGATAGACAGATTTACAGACAGGCAGATGATAGAGAGAGATATAAA